GGCTGCTCACAGGCTTTTAAGGCCCCAGACGCTACTCACCAAGGTAGAATGTAGAACATTGTCTTTATAAACTGTTTTATGCCAACTGAGCTAGATGTTCCCTGAGACCATGGTCCCCACAGCCTTCAATGAGGTCTATCTTGATCACTCTATTGAAAATTGCAAACTGAGATTCCCCCTTTGCCCCATACTCTCCAATCCCCTTACCTTGCTAGACATAGTGCTTATTACACCTTCTAACACACCATAGATCTTACTTATTTATCATGTCTCTTGTTCATTGTATATCTCTCTCAGCCAGAAGTCAACTCAACAAGGGCAGAGATAATTATCTCCTTTGTTCACTGTTGAATCCAACAGCTCAGAACAACGCCTGGAACATACTAGACACACAAAAACTATTTGCTGAGTGAACATAAATGGTACTGATCTCAGTTTCCACGTTTCCCTCACAATACAACCGGAAGTAACCCTTAACTGATCATGGAAGAGAATGGATCATAGAATAGTTGTGGTCTTCTTATGCCAACTGGAATACTCTATTCTGGAATACCCTCTTATTACAACCTTATATTTAGCTTATACACTTGATACTGTCAGTGACTGTGCCATGCCACGCTCTTTCCTCACTGTAAGTGGACATTTTCTGAATTATTTTTGAGGGCCTCAGAGTTCTGCTCTGGTTGTTTTCTGTCTTTATGTTTTGAGAATGGCACAGATTTCAATGTTATTTCCTCTAGAAACCATAAAGCAAAAAGATGGCTAAAGAATACCATAAAGTCAAAGAAGAAAAAACAATTAGGCAGAAAATATTTTATTTGCCATACTCATGACAAAGGACTAATGGCATACACACACACACACACACACACACACACACACACACATATAACTATTACAAATCAATAAGAAAAAGGCCATCAACCAATAGAAAAAGAGAAAAGGAAATAAAAGGATAAAAACCAATAATTCACAGAAGGAGGGTCAGTCTCACAAAAGCAGTAATAAATTCATTGACCATAAAGCAACAATGAGTTACCTACCACCTTTCTTCTATCAGAGGCCAAGTAATTTGAAGGCACATGGTGTTTTCAAGAATGTAGGGCAATAGACATGCTCAGTGTATGTACTTTTGGTGGGAATGTAAATTGATGCAACCTCTTTGATGGACAATTGACAATACCAGGCTTATAAATGCACACACTCTCTGATAGGATTTTACTCGCTGTATTTTTTTTTTTTTTTTGATGTAATTTGGGTTTTTTTTTTCAATAAAATAGTGAATTTTAAATAATTAGAAAAATTAACTCCTATTGGCAGGAAGACTTTCCCATTCAGGCAGCATACTTCCTAGGTCACATCATTAAACAGCCTCCAGCAGCAGTAGCTGAGAGTTTACTCTCTTCCTGCCCCCCATCCATAGGAGACCTACTCCTGGGCTCCAAGGGGATCTGCTTAGATCTATCTACTCATTTATACTCATTTTTTCTTTCTCCCTCCTTCATCTTACTTCAGAAATAATTCAAGATGGTTGATGGGAACTTGACATAGACGCTCTAAAACTAAAGCTAATCCAAATGATTTATACTGATTTTCAGAATTCATATAAATTTTTATTATAGGAGACTTACCTTCTGAATTATGCTTTGTTCAAGCTCTTTTAATTAGTTTTTGCTCCCTGAACACATACTATAATAGCAGAAAGAGCATTCATTCCTAGAGCATGGTGGAAGGTTGGGAGAAGCCAGCCAGTATTTAAAATTGGCTGCGGCCAAGGTACACTTCAAATTGGGTTTCAAATTCCCTTCTGGGAACAAATACATGAAGAATCAAACCATGGATGAAAACATAGTAAAAAACTGCCTTTTAATATCTGATTAGCATTTGGGTAACACCCCAATCCAATTAAGGTGACCTGGCTATATTATAATCTTAAGGGAAGCAAGACTTCCACACAGATGACTGAAATTAAGGCAGTTTAAACCTTATCAACTGAAATGTGCTCTTTGGAAGATAGATTAGGGGCAGGGAGTACACAATACCTATAAAAATGGAAAGCTGGAAAGCAAGCATTGGTCACATGTCTCCAAGATGGAGTAGAACCGAGAGTCTTGACCAGTCAACATTCAACCCACCTGGAAATGTTTATCCCAATGTGCTATGTGTGTAGCCAGTAAAAGCCATTAAGGTTACCCAACCCACTCGTGGCAATGATCCACGATCGCTGGGCCACCTTCTCAGGTTTATCTGCCTTCTCACCCAGGTTTGCCAGCAGCCACCATTGTTGGGTGCCATTCCAGTCTCATAAGACTCACGGGGGCTCTCGGAGTCATTTAGTTTAATCTCATCCCAATACAGGAATGCTCCATGGCTTTTTATCACCTCCTACCCCAAATCTACCATCCATGACCCTTTAAAAAAAAATTGCTCTACCAGCCCCTAAGTAAACTTTCCCTCCCAGCTACGGCCCCAAGATTTTTTAGGAAACTCTTCAGGACCCCTTTGAAAAAAACAAAAACAAACCAGTTGCTGTCCAGTCAATTCTGACTCATGGAGACCCCATGTGTTCCCAAGTAGAACTGTGCTCCATAGGGTATTCAATGGCCCTCAACTTTTGGACATAGATGGCCAAGCCTTTCTTCCAAGATACCTCTGGGTGGACTTGAACCACAAATCTTTCAGTTAGTAGTTGAGTGCTTAATTGTTTGTGCTACCCAGGCAGTCTCAAGCCTTTAAGGCTCTTGAAACCCAAATATACTCTTATGGGTAAAGGGTTAATGCTCTCACAACACAACTTTATTTGGCCTTAATGAGGGTAGGGGGGAAAGGAAAACAGTAAAATTATTATTTTAATTTCTTTATTTATCAATAGCATCCAAAAAAATCAGGAATTATAAAAAAAAGTTAAATGCAATATAGAAGCCTACTAAATACAAATACATTTCACAAACACATAGGCAACAGAAACCTGTTCAAATTGTTTCTTGAAGTTTGACTATTTTAAAAATAGGTGGAAAGGAGATGTTCAGAGCTTGGTCCACATGGGTTTATTAGCAGGTGGAGGGGCCCTGCTTTCCAAAAACAGTGATGGAGTCCAGAGTCATGGTATGTGGAAAGGTTTCCATGGACACTGGATCGTAACAGATATATTCGTAAAACCACAAGCACACACAGAGAAAAGCCCGAGGAAGCTTGCAATCTAAGCCCTGTGCTTTTTAGAAGGCTGAAGGAACTGAACCCAATTTAATCCTGTTTGTTTGCTCCATGCAAAGTTCTATGCAAGACTCCCCAAACTAGGCTATTCAGCAGCTTTCCATGAATGGCCCTAAGATAATGTCATTCTCCGGCGCAGACAACAGCTGCCCTATTTACACAGAAACAGCACAACTCAGGAGGAATGGAGATTTGCTCTTGAGAATTCAGTGCTGCTGGGTGGGATAGTCTTGGATGGCAACCACAGTCCTAAATGTGATTGGTGGAGACAGCCTGGATTCTGCTTTAAACAAACCAGTACTCCCAACTCTCTCCCTGACAGTGTCCAGGGACCTGTAAATCTTTTGATTAAGATGTGCTGCTGTGAGCTCTCCAAGACACTTGGACAGGGAGGTACATTTCTGATTGTATAAGTGGGGTTTGAAGAGAGCTTTCAAATGGGATGACACGTAAAAGCTCAGGATTCGAAAGAAAGTGGAATGTCGTCCTTTCAAAGGAGAACAAGAAGAAATTCCAATTTGGGCACAAGAGTTTCTCACTGTTGTCTGTGCATTCCAGCCTCCATAAGTGTCCTCTGATGGTCTATAATCTGCTTTCTGTATGTGAGTTTTCAATCCTTGTTATTCCAAACGCTTCTTACACATAGTATTGGAGTACAATTAACCATCACAGAGGCCAGAAGACATAGGGTTGACTGACTTATTGCCACATTAGTTTTAAGATTTTATTTCCTTTTTTTCCCTCTTGAAATTGGAAACCACTTTTTGTCCTCATCTCTAAAGGGAAAGCTATTGCTGTTTCCAAGAGGAGGTTAAACATGAAATGGGAAACTGAAGACAAAATGGGGGTGGTTCTCTTTCCCACTCTCCTCCCAGCCAGGCTTTATCCACAAGGCCTCTACATCACAGACCAGGTCAAATTTGGTCATCCTGCTTTTGGCTGTCTGACTGTTCTTGTTTTTTCATTTGTCCCAAGGAGGAGGAAAATCACAGGAACCTGTCTCCCTCTGGACCAATGACCAGAACCAGATAATTTATTCATTTATCAAATCTAAAGGTTAATCCATTTCTACCTGCTGATTGAGGAAACTGAGGCCCAGAAATGGGAAGAGTCGGGGCCAGAGTCACTCTCCTAGTTAGTGGTGGATCAATAAGCATATTGATAGACTGGGCTATCCTAAGCCCTGCTTAGCTGCACATATTTCTCATCTCCACCCTTGGGAATACTGATTTCCACTGACCTTCTCAGAATAAATGAAAACAAATTAGCTTTTTGGACCTTGAAAGCTTGGTATGAAGATGCTTCTTCTTCCCTAGGCATCTGTCTGAGGCATCCCCTGCTCCTCGGACAGACTGCTGAACCACTGGTAGCAGAGGAGCAAACTCTGGGCTCCAGCTTGCCTGTGTGACAAGTGTGGTGGGACTCTGCGTGACAGGGGCCCCTGCCCAAGGAGCACAACACACAGAAGGACCCAAGCGCCTCCCACCTGACATGGTAGGACTACTGACAAAAAGTTACAAAAGCTTAATTTCTAGTCAAGAAAATATTAAAACAACAACAATAATATAATGATAATAATTGAAAAGTGAAGTCAACTTGCCAAAAAAGAGCACTTTACAGAAAAATAGCACCTTTGGTAAAAAGTATTTTTAGAAATTTGGTTAGGTCTCTAAGGGGCTCAAAGCAGACAAATATCTGCATCACTCGGGTATGCCCTCTCAGAAACTCCATCCAGATCTGAGGGACGCTGGGAAACCAGCCGGATGGATGTGTAGCTAGAGGCAGCGGTTGGCGTTCTGTCACGCTGACGGCAATGGGAAGTAGCCAGAAGCAGAATGTGTTCTCCATTGAGCTTCTCAAACCCCGCCTCCGGGGACAGCCAGGTGAGATCTCTTTGGCATGGCCTGCCCTCCCTGCAGCATGTTTAGAGCTGCGGTGGACTCAGAAGGGGCTTCGATCTGCGTCCACTCCTCTCTCAACCCTGATGCAGTTTCCTCACTGCCTGCAGCCCCCGAGCACCGTTTACAGTTTCTCTCAAAGTGCTCTGAGAGATGAAGTCTATGGCCCTTCCCCTCTTAGCCAGCCACCCCATTTCCTTTATTGCAAAACAAATAAACAAAATAAAACTCACTGCTATACAAGCAAATACTGGTGATTTGGCGATTGTAGCGGACACTTGCGTATACTGGACTCAGCACTGAAGTGGAAGGGAAGGTGCCGGCTCCAGACACCATTCCCAGGTTCCTCCTCGTTAGATCTCTTTGGTGCTTACTCTCTTGGTTTTTTCAGCTGTTTCCTTTAAGAAGTCATAGAAAATGATCATCATGAGAATTTAAAAAAAAACATCTTTTGTATGTATCTAATCCTCAAGACTGTATACAGCATTGACAGATGCATGCTTATCATGCCGAGTTTTAGTTGTTTACTTGTCTGTCTCTCCAGGGACAATGAGCAACTTGAAGGCAAAGACTGTGTCTTCTCCAATCACTCTCCCGTACCCAGCACAGTACTTGGAATATGAGAGCCGCTTTCTGAATTAAGATATGACTCCATTTGAACTCATATAAAACTAGCAGATGAGACATTTTAATCCTCATTTTAAGGATGAAGAAAAAGAGACTATGTGGATGTGCTACAAGATGCTCTGAACTCAACTCTAAAGAAGTGTTAACAGCAATGAACTCTGGGGGCAGGCTGTCTGAACTTGAATCACAGCTGTGCTATTTTCTGGGTGACCTTAGGAATATTATGAAGCCTTTCTGTGCCTCAATGTCCTCAACTATAAAATGAGGATAAAAATAGAACCACTTCTTATAATAGTGTCAGGCATATTTCTCCAAAGAAGATTTATAAATGGCCAATAAGCACATGAAAGGTTGCTCAAAATGATGTCACTAGGGAAATGGAAATCGAAACCACAATGAAATACCACTTTACACCCACCAGGATGGCTAAAATAAAAAAAGACAGAGAATAACAAGTCTTGGCAAAGATGTGGAGAAGTTGGAACCCTAATACATTGCTGGTGGAAATGTAAAATAGCATAGCTGCTTTGAAAAATAGTCTGGCAGTTCCTCAAAAAAGCAAAACATACAGTTACCATATGACCCAGAAATTACATTCCTAGGTATATATACCCCCCGCCCCCCCCCAAAAAAACCCACTGCTATCAAGTCGATTCTGACTTATAGCAGCCCTATAGGACAGAGCAGAACTGCCCCATAAGGTTTCCAAGGAGTGGCTGGTGGATTTGAACTCCTGACCTTTTGGTTAGCAGGCGTAGCTCTTAATAACTGTGCCACCAGGGCTACAGATAGATACCCAAGAGAACTGAAAATATATGTCCACACAAAAACTTGTACAGGAAATGTTCATACCAGCATTGTTCATAATAGCAGAAATAACCCAGACATCCACCAAATGGTGAATGGATAAATAAAACGTGGTCTATTCATACAACGGAATATTATTCAGCCATAAAAAGGAATGCACTAGTGATTCATGCAACAAAATGGATGAACTTTGAAAACATTATGTTAAGTGAAAGAAGCCAGACAAAAGGCCACATATTACATGGTTCCATTTCTATGAAATGTCCAGAATAGACAAATCTATAGAGTCAGAAAATAGATTAGTGGTTGCCAGGGGCTGGGGGAGGAGGGAATGGGAGTGACTGCTAATGGATGCGGGATTTCCTTTGAGGGTAATGAAAGTGTTTTGGATTTTGATTGTGGTAATGGGTACACAACTGGGTGAATACACTAAAAGCTACTGAACTGTACTCCTCAGATGGATGAATTTTATGGTATGTGAATTGTGTAAAAATAAAAAAAATTAAATAGAAAAAAATCCAACAGTGCCTGGCATCTAGCAGGCACTGTTGGTGCCCCACCCATGACCTCCTTGCCCTTAACGTTTCAGTGTAGACTGGCATGGCTTCTTACTGCCAGCACATGCATCTCTGTGCCTGAGGGCTTTCTCTGGCTGCCAGAGCCGCTCTGCCCACACACACTGGCATGCCAGAAATGCCAGGCAAGTAAGGTTTCTTGGTAGAAACCCTCACGGCTGAAGCAAGTTCTTGTATAAATAGCCGGGGTCCTTTCTCCCTCAGGCACAGTCACTCTGTTCCCAGAGCTCCCCAAAGGGTCAGTTTCCCCTGGCCCACAGCGGTAACCTGCGGAAGCCCACCTTCTTTATTGCTTCCTTTCCTTCCTGGGCTCATTCCTCAACACCTCTTCTGGTGTTTCCTGGGATTGCCTCCCAAATAAACTATCTGTACCTGAATGGAGTGACACAGTGGCTGCACCAATGGGCTCAAGCATAGCAACGACTATAAGGATGGCACAGGACTGGGCAGCATCTCGTTCTTTTGTACACAGGGTCTCTATGAGTCAGAACCGACTCGACGGCACCTAACAACAACACCTGAAAACGATGTTAACTATTAAAATTCACTCTCCGCTGAGTACTCTTATACTTTCTCCACCCTAAATGAAAGAAATGCCTATTAAGCTTTTTTTTCTTTTATGGAGTTGTACTCATCAGGAGACTCAAGACTGTTGAAATATGAGAAAACAAAAGATTAAGTTTCCTCTTCTGCTTAAAAAACTGACGTTCGATTTCTACAATATCAGTGACAATAGTGACAAAATGCAGATAAAGAATCATCAATAAATATGAGCAATTGTTATTAACAGTTCTTTATACTCATGTCAAATATTCCATCTCAGTAGTTGAGCAGTTCTTGTGACCATTGTATTCCTTATAGACTTGTATGTCAGAGGGAAGTTTTGTACTTCTAGACCTGGTCTACAGACAGGCCATCTAAAGGACAATATTCATTCTTAAAACTACATGGTAAGTCTGGGAAAATGGATCCAGGAACCCAGCATGGCCATGTTTTCTCTAGGTGCTTAGCATAATCTCTCAGTGGACCACTAAGGACCTTGTCCCCAAGGAGGCCTCTGAACTTACTGACACAGAACTCAATAGAATTCTTAGTTATTATCTCTCAAAAATCTCTAGGAAGGAGAACTTCTAAGTTCCTGTGCTTATCAATCCCAGGCTGTTTTCTAGCCAGCATGACTGTTAACTTCAATCCTTTCTGTTGCAGTCCAAATCCACTAATTCTAAGCTCACTGAGTGCCGACTACACCCCAAGGCCTGTGCTAGACGCAGGGTGCAACGGTGAGCAAGTCACGGGGCCTGCCCTCAAGGAGCTCCCAGTCTTCAGGTCTGGGCACTGGTCAGGACAGGGAATAGTAACACTCCTTTAGACTGGGCTCATTTGCAAACCACCTCCACAGCATTTGCAAACCACCACCTGGCTGATTCTACATTTGCTGGTATATGGGCCCTTAGAGGACTCCATCAGGGAACTATCTGTATCATGGTTTGGTACAGATAATGCGATAGTATCATTCAAGACCTACTGTGTTGGACAAAGCATGTCTCCTTGGCTTCCCGGGGCACCAGACTGCTTCTGAGTGGTGCAAGACCAGCATGGAGGCTGCCACTCACCTGGTGCTTCTGGAGCTCCTGGACGTATCTGGTCATCCCTTCCTCTGTGTGGGTCTGGGACCCCCTCTGATTCTTTCCTGCAAAAGAAGCAGGGCTCAGAGCAGTGGTGGCTGTGGGAATCCAGCTGGCAATCTCACCAAGATCTATCTTCTAAGTGCTCAATTAGATTGCCCGGTTAAGCTACAAGAGAGGTGAAGTACCCTCATTTCTCTGAATATGAAGACATGAAGTGTCCAGTGCCGCCAACACTTCCAAGGCAACGGACTGTAAACAAAATAATCCTCCCCCACCCCCGCCACCATCCCCCCTTTCTCTGGCCTCTGTCCCCAGGCCTCCTTTAAGTGTTCCCAGCACATCCAAGCCAGGGGCTGGTCATGCAGAAAAAGTGATGTGAAAACCTGCATCCTGACTCAGGAGATTCCTCTGGGGCAGTGATTCCCAACCGTTTACAGGGCCTCCTAACTTCCTGGAGAATGTTTACAAATACAGTTGCCTAGGTTCTGGCTGCAGAGATACTGATTTCACTGACGTAAGGTGGGGTCTGCACACCAGGATTTTTTTTTGTTTTTTCCCCTGTGTCTTGCATAAGATGAAGCCAAGGTAGAAAAAGAAATAAAGGGCATCCAAATACATAGGGAAGAAGTCAAAGTATCTCAATTTGCAGATGATATGATCTTATACAC